CGAGGTTTTTGGAAAAACATGATCTAAAGATCGAGGATCGACCAGATATTTGTTGCAGGATTTTTAAAATGAAGCTCGATAATTTAGTGAATTATCTAACGAAAGACCACATTATGGGCCACGTTAACTCAGGTATGTCAAAAAGATTAAATATAAGTAAAGAGTCATAATATATAAGTCGTGCCAACTTATATTTAACGTATAGGTACTAATTCGATTTATTACATGTATTTTTAAATTTTTCTAATTGTTTTACTTTTATTTCAACGATGTATACCACTGAATTCCAAAAAAGAGGATTGCCACATGCCCACATGGTTGTTTTCTTGAAACCCGAATCCAAACTACCAATAGGCGAGGACATAGATAAATTTATATCAGCAGAGATACCGGACAAGGACTTGGATCCAATTTTGTACGAAATTGTTGGAGACTTGATGATAAATGGACCATGCAGTGATGACAATCCAAAAAATGTTTGTATGCATGAGAAAAGGTGTACAAAATTCTTTCCTAAGCCTACTGGATCAATTACTAAAATCGATGATGCTGGCTTCCCCATCTATAGACGTCGTATGGATCAAAGAACCATTCTGAAGAGGGGTGTTTTGTGTGATAACCGATATGTTGTCCCATATAATCCAGATCTCTTAAAGCGTTTTCGGGCACATGTTAACGTTGAGTGGTGCAACCAAACCAGGTCTATAAAGTACCTATTCAAATATATAAACAAGGGTCCAGATTACATTAGAGCAGCAATCGAGGATGAAGACGGTAACCCCGTTATATCCCAAGATGAGGTTGAGCAACATTACAATTGCAGGTAACTTTGCGAAACTAATTTTTAAGATTAGGTCGCTTGAATAATTACTTAATTATGATTTTAAAAGAAAACAAGATTATTTATTTCTGTTTGATTTGCTCATTCTTAGATACATTTCACCGTATGAATCATCATGGAGGCTTCTAAAGATTCCTACACAGTACCGAACCACGGCAGTAATGCAACTTTCGTTTCATTTGCCTGGTAAACAAATGTGTATATATCACGAAGGAGAGAGCGTTGACCAAGTCTTAAACAAGGCATTGGTAGGTCAGTCACAATTTCTAGCGTGGATGGAGGCAAACAAGATACATGCCTTAGGAAAGAAGCTAACATATGCTGATTTCCCAACAAAATTCGTCTGGGTCTCAAAGCATCGGCAATGGAGAATACGAAAACAAGGTTTTGCCATAGGAAGACTGGTGTATGTCTCACCTTCCGTTGAAGACGCATATCATTTGAGGATTCTTCTCAATATAGTCAAGGGCCCTGAGAGTTTTGATGACTTAAAAAAGGTTAATGGTGTTATATACTCTTCTTTCCGAGAAGCATGCTTTGCGCTTGGTTTGTTAGACGATGATAAAGAATACATCGAAGGAATTAAAGAGGCTAGTTTTTGGGGAACTGGAAAGTTTCTTCGTAAACTTTTTGCTATAATGCTTCTCTCGAGTAGTGTAGCAGTTCCAATCAACGTCTACTTGGAAAATATTAACTGAGGATTTCTTATATCAGAAAAGGCGTGAAGAGAATGACCCAGGTTAGATGGATTTGAAATTTTAAACTATTTTACAAGACTCACATTATCTTAGTTGCTAACAGACTTATTTGTATATCTAGGTTTGGTGTTGACGGAAGCCCAATATAATAATCTTGGTTTGTCAGATATAGAGAAGTATATGCGCAGAAACGGTCATTCATTATCCGACTATAAAGGAGAGATGCCAGTCCCTGATGATATTGGAAAGTATAAGAAATCTAATCATCTAATCCGGGATGAGAAATCATACGATCGTGCAAAACTTGCAAACGATCATGTCAAGTTGTTTTCAACAATAACCAATGAACAGAAGGATATCTACAATGAGATAATGGATGCAGTTACAAGAGGTATCGGTGGAATGTTTTTTGTTTATGGATATGGTGGGACAGGTAAAACGTACCTATGGAGGCTTTTAGGTGCTGCTCTTCGTTCTCAAGGGAAAATAGTTCTCAATGTTGCATCAAGTGGCATTGCAGCATTGTTATTAGAGGGAGGAAGAACAGCGCATTCTCGGTTTGGAATACCCATAGTTGTGAACGAGTATATATTCTGTAATGTGAGTTCTGGATCACACCAAGCAGAGTTGATTGAAGCAGCCGATCTTATTATATGGGATGAGGCTCCGATGATGAGCAAGCATTGTTTGGAGACATTGGATCGGACTATGCGTGATATACTAAAGTGTGATAAGGTATTTGGTGGAAAGGTCGTTGGTTTGGGTGGTGACTTTTGACAAATACTCCCTGTTATTGTCGGAGGCAACAGCTCAGAGACTATATTGGCAACTGTGAATTCTCTCATATTTGGTCTGATTGCAAAGTTTTGCAGCTAAAGACAAATATGAGACTGCTTTGTGGCGATAATGATTTCAATAATAAAGAGATTGAAGAATTCGCTAAGTGGATCTTGGATATTGGTGATGGAAAACTAAATATTCATGATACCATAGAAGATGAATTAGAAATTCCAGCGGATTTGCTGATAGGCGGAGAAGGTGATCCTGTTAAGAGAATAGTCTCGGAGATTTATGGTCAATCTTACACAACCACCCGTGAACCAGTTTTTTTCAAGAAAGGGCAATACTCAGTCCACGGAATCAGGATGTCGACGTTATCAATGAATTCATGCTATCAGAACTCAAAGGTCTTCGTTATATGATTTCTCACATTTCCTTTTAATACGTATTTATATTATAATTAAAATATATCAGTACTAACATAGTTTGAATTGTTTTTATTAGGTGAGGAACATGAATACCTTAGTGCCGATAGCATTGATACTTCAGACACAAGCAAAATAGACGAAGTCGTCTATACACAGGAGTATCTTAATAGTATAAAGGTATCAGGGCTGCCAAATCATTCTCTCAAGTTAAAGATAGGAGCTCTAATAATGTTGCTTAGAAATATTGATTCTAAGGGTGGTTTGTGTAATGGTACGAGGTTGCTTATTACTCGGTTAGCTAGGCATGTAATCGAGGCAAGCCATATAACCGGGAAGAAAATAGGAAAAAAGGTTATCATACCTAGAATGTTTGTGTCACCACCAGAAGCAAGGTTTCCTTTTAGAATGCGCCGGAGGCAGTTTCCTATTACCATAGCTTTTGCTATGACTATAAACAAAAGTCAGGGTCAGACTCTACAGAAGGTGGGATTATATTTGCCAAAGCCAGTGTTCTCGCATGGTCAACTTTATGTCGCCGTCTCTAGAGTTACATCACGCCAAGGGTTGAAGATTCTTATTACAGATAAAAATGGCAAAGCACAAAAGAAGACAATGAATGTTGTTTACAAAGACGTGTTTGAAAACATTTATAGAAATTCGCGGTTGGTTTGAATAGATTGTTTTGTTTGCTTGGAGACTAAGTCAAAAGAGGCTGACACGTGGAAGAGGAAGCGCGCGTCTTTAATTTTTGGGCCTGGCCCATCTGTAATTAATTTTTTGCTTGGTGGGTTAGAAAACTTGGCGGTGAAGTCAAAGAGAGAGCACGTGGAACCACCAACCCAACTGGCCGCAAAAGCTGAAGTATTTTACCGAGTCAATCGCGCCCTCAAAAGAAAAGAAAAAAGAAAACGCAAATATGACAAAATTTATTTTTTATCCATATGGTAAATAACTAAATATGTTTTAATTTATTTTTATTAATTGCCTTAGATAAATAAGACATGTACTTTGTTACATGTTATAAGATTTTAATCTGGTTGAGACATCTACTGACCTAGTGATTCAACTTTTTTTTTTTACTACGTACTTTGTATCAACTACTTAAAGTCAACATATTTCACAACTTTAAAAACTAAATTCTCTAAAATATAATGTCCAAATGGATTTAAAATGCTGTTGAACAAATCAATTTCAAAATGTATTTTTGCGAATTCATACTAACTAGTTCATGACGAATATATGCAGGTTTTTGATTGTGGAATAGAACATATTATGGTAGTAGATAATTCATTAGAGCATGTTTAGCAGGGGTTCATCAAAAGTTTATGGCATAGGTTTTGAGACGAAATTTAATAAAATAATAATTTTAGAGGTAGAGGTTCATGGCAAAAGTTCTTCCCAATAAATCTGAAAAACCCAAGTTCATCCAGGTTCATCACACGTGGAGCATCCTTATTGATCCAAAAAAATAATTTTCGAATTAAAAAAAAATGAAAAAAAACAAAATCCAAAAAAAAAGTATTATTATATTGGATTGAACTCTTTTCTCAGAAGTTCACTGATGGACGTCTTAGGACTTAGAGTCTCATTTCCCTCTTATATTAACTGTGGTGTATGCTTTCTAAACAGTTAGATTAACATAAGCAAACTGTCAAGTGTTATACTTTTTGTTTATTTTTCTGAAATTCCACGACTCGAACTGAAATATCTTAAACGAGCAGAAGTAATTTTGGATTTTTTGGGCCTTAGTTTTGTATATAGAAAATAACGTCCAGCTAATTTACACGTTAAATTCTTAAATATCTACCATTTAATTATTTCTCGAAATGCAGCTTAAAGAAAAAATAATAAAAAGAAAAAAAAACAAGGCCTAATAATTAGGAGGTAGTTACGGTAAAACTAAAAACCCACCAAATAACCTCTCCTTAATCCTCGCCAAAACCCTAACTTCTCTCTCTCTTTCATATATATCCCGTGACAGTTAAGTTGAGGAATCACCAACTTATAACCTGAAGTCTTACCTCAGTAAAAAAAAAGACAGAACAGTATCTTTGATCCTTTCATATATCCTCTCTTGTCCTTTCTTTTTGTTTTCTACGTTTACTCTCTAAGCTTAAATAGCAGCAATTAAAGCTAATTAAGTCTTACTAATCATCATTTATTCAAACATCTTCCTTCTGTAACTCCTCCTGATTGCTTCGCATTCTTTCATTCCCTAAAACACTGATTCATCATCTCTATCGATCATTCTCTATGAACTGCTTAAGCTACTTCTCCAACTCAGACTTTATCCAGCTCCAGGATTGCTTTATCCCTGATGTGGATATGATTATCCCAGAAACCGACAACACGTTCTTCTTCCAAGCACAACAGCAACATCAACCATCGCATTACGAAAAAGCTCTTTCACCGTCTCTCTTCGAATTCGATCACTTGGATACTTTCTTTGAGCCGTTTCTTCCTCCTCAAGAAATCTTTATCTCTAACCCTAACACTCAAGTCTTCAACGAGTCACAAGACCTAGATTCCTTCTTCCCCGCGCCGAATAAACACCAAAAGCTCATTGACTCCAGCTTCCATTTCAACAACACTCATCACGACCCTCTGTTCCCAAGCCCTAACCCTAATCTCTTTGATTCCTACACCAACGAAGCTTCTAACTTTTCCGATTTTCGAGTTCCTGATTTCACTCCGGCGTTCAACGTTGGGTGGGGTGATCAAAACGATACCAAGAAGCCGAAACTTTCTGCTCAGAGCATCGCAGCACGAAAGAGGAGAAGAAAGATCACAGAGAAGACTCAAGAGCTCGGAAAACTAATCCCTGGAAACCAGAAACATAACACTGCCGAAATGTTCGAGGCCGCAGCTAAATATGTCAAGTTCTTGCAGGTTCAGATTGAGATTCTTCAGCTGAGGCAGACAAAAATGCAGGTATAGTTAAGACAAACCTTATATCCAATTAGTCTCTGCAGAAATATATGTCGACTAGTCTATATTTATGTAAGCTTTTTTTTTTTACTTTGTAGACGCAGGAGAGTCCAGAAGTGGCAGGAGAAATGCAGTTTTTGCTTGCATCTCAAAATATCCAGGAGAAGCTATCGACAGAAGAAGTTTGTGTGGTTCCAAGGGAAATGGTTCAAGTCCTAAAAGCCGAAGAATGCATATTGAGAAACCCTAAGATTTATCGAGACATTAATAAGTTGCTCTCCACGAATCTGGTTAATTAGTTTAGATTTTATCCAGATGCTCGAATGTCCAAAACCTTAGATTTGTCTGTGTTTTTGTGTCTGTTTCTAATTTTTCCTTGTACTAGATTCTATGTTAGCTAGAGCTTAACCATTAGTTAATTTTCTTCTTAACTAATGTAAATCACTTTGTTGTTTTCCAAAAAATGCTAGCTACTCTGTTATATCTCTAGTAAGTTTAATTTAATAAAATTGGTTTTGGTTAATCTTAATTTAGATTATAAGTTAACGAGATATGCAAACAATGAATTAAGTATTTCAGTTAATAGGCTAGTAGCACATAAAGGTGTAACCATTTCCGAAATTATCAAAATCATAAAATCCCAAAAGCATCATCACAAGATTAAAGATTTTTTTTTCCAATGATTTAAATTTAAATTTTAAGAAAGGTTTCTAAAAAGTTTAGTAAGAACCGAAGAGGTCCTAACTCCTAAGTAAATGATTAGTGATTAATCCCTTATTAAATTGTTGAAGAATTAAAACTAATTTACCCCTAGTATTTTTAAAGTTTTCTAAGTGGTCTGTTTAGAACTAAAACTTATTTTGCCTTGCTCTTGTAGCTCGTCTGGTCAGTGAAGGCACTTACATGTGCTACACGAGAGTGTTCGAAGCTCGAGCAAGGCAGAAGAGAGAGAGGGTCGAAGAACTAAAACCTATTTTTATATGCTAGGGATTTTTCAGAATTATTTAGGCTTTATTCTGATCATTTTATATTTTTATATTTCTGTATGGGCCTAAAAAGAAATAAATTTGGGCTCAGGTATATGATTTTTTGAAGCTATAGCACCATTTCTACATGATATCACTGTTTTTTTTTTTATAAAAAAACTATCTATTAAGGGAAAAAACTCTTATCTTATTGTTTCCATAAGCAGTGTATATATACATTACATAATTAATGTATCAGAAATCCTAATGGGCCATGAGACATTAACCTAATGGTTAATGGGCTGGTTACTAGAAGTCCATTTGTTTATAACACTCCCCCTTGGACAAGGTAACCATGCCTGTCACAAAACCGGGATCTCTATAATGCGCTGGGGAACGTTGCCTCATTAAAACCTTACCAGGAAAACCCAGTGGGAAAAACCATGGTGAAGGAAAAAGAGTACAACACGCATTACTCCCCCTGGTTTAGGCATCACTGTAGATCTCTAAGTCTACGCATTCCTATCTTATGAATGAGCTTCCGGAGTGTAGAAGTCGATAATGATTTAGTGAATAGATCGGCTGAATTTTCGCTTGATCGGACTTGCTGAACCTTGACCTGACCATCCTTCTGTAGCTCATGAGTGAAGAAGAATTTGGGCAGAATATGCTTCGTCCGGTCACCTTTGATGTAGCCGTCCTTGAGTTGAGCGATACAAGCTGCATTGTCTTCATACATCACCGTAGGCTCCTTATCTTCGTCCATACCACAATCTGATCGGATATGCTGAGTCATGGACCGCAACCAAACACACTCTCTACTAGCTTCGTGAATGGCCAAGATTTCCGCATGGTTGGATGAGGTAGCGGCAATAGTCTGCTTCATGGATCTCCAAGATATGGCTGTTCCTCCATGCGTGAAAACATAACCGGTTTGAGACCGGGCACAGTGCGGATCTGACAAATATCCTGCATCAGCAAAACCAACTAGACCATCCTTGTTATGGTTAGAATAAAATAATCCCAAGTCCTTAGTACCTTGAAGGTATCTAAGGATGTGCTTAATACCGTTCCAGTGCCTTTGAGTTGGACACGAACTAAAGCGAGCTAAGAGGCTCACGGCAAAGCAGATGTCTGGTCTAGTGTGACTAGCCAAGTACATTAATGCTCCTATGGCACTGAGGTATGGCATTTCAGGACCGAGGATTTCTTCATCGTCCTTCTTTGGACCGAATGGATCACTATCCAATCCAAGGCTCCTCACAACCATTGGGCTGGTCAATGGGTGGGCCTGGTCCATATTGAATCTCTTGAGTACCTTTTCAGTGTATGCCAATTGATGCACAAGGATTCCGTCATTGACGTACTCAAGTTGTAATCCCAAACAGAATTTAGTTTTGCCTAGGTCTTTCATTTCAAACTCTGCTTTTAAGCATTCAACTGTTTGGGCGATTTTACCAGATGTTCCGAGGATGTTCAAGTCATCCACGTATACTGCTATGATTACAAATCCTTTGTTTTGATATTTTCTGATGAAGGTGCATGGACTGATCAGATCGTTTTCGTAGCCTTCTCTGATGAGATATTCGCTTAACCGGTTATACCACATACGTCCGCTTTGTTTCAGTCCATATAAGGATTTGTTCAGCCTAATGCAGTGTTTATCACGAGATGCATGCTTATCTTTGAGCTCAATATCATCTGGTAATCTCATATAGATTTCACTGTCCAGTGGTCCATAAAGATATGCGGTTACAACATCCATTAACCGCAAATCTAAGTTTTCTCTTATAGCCAGACTTATGAGGAATCGAAATGTAGTTGCATCTACCACTGGAGAATAAGTCTCCTCATAATCGATTCCGGGTCTCTGTGAGAATCCTTGTGCTACAAGGCGTGCCTTGTATCTAACGACTTCGCCGAGTTCGTTTCTTTTACGCACAAAGACCCATTTGTTTCCCACTGGTTTAACATCGAATGGTGTCCTTAAGATCGGACCAAACACATTCCGTTTCTTTAAACTATTCAACTCCACGTTTATGGCTTCTTTCCATTTCAGCCAATCTGATCTACGAGTGCACTCAATTATAGACGTGGGTTCTAGATCCTCTTGCGTGTACGCAATCTCAAGTGCTACCTTGTATGCAAAAGTTTCATTGATGTCGACATCTTTTCTGTTCCATAGAGAACCGAATATGATATAATTGATTGAGATCTCATTATTATCAATCCCTTCAGAACCTTGAGTTTTGGCGTCCCAAACCTCTTGAGATGGTTCGATAGGGTAAGTATCAGCTGAGGCTGTATCCGTGTTCTCTTGAATCCCGGTTTCAATCATTGCACCTTTCTTTGATTTCTGGGGATTCTTATCTTTGGAACCTGGTGGTCTGCCACGTTTCTTACGTGCGTCAGACTCTGTAGCAACTTGACTTTTCCCTGAGGGGACATCTATTCGTACTGGTGCATTGCAAGCTGGTATGTACGATTTGGTAACTTTGTTCGGGTCAGCAAAGGAATCTGGCAATTGATTAGCTAGCTTTTGTAAATGTATAATTCTTTGGACCTCTGAATCACATTCTAGAGTCCGAGGATCTTGCCATTGTGTGGATGTTTGATTCCATGAAAGTTCTTTTACCAGCTTTTCTGTCTCACCACCTAATCTAGGATATACCGATTCATCAAATCGGCAATCTGCATATCTGGCTTTAAACAGATCTCTTGTAGTTGGCTCGAGATATTTTATGATGGTGGGAGAATCAAAACCAACATATATTCTCATCCTCCTTTGAGGTCCCATTTTAGTCCTCTGTGGTGGTGCAATGAGTACATAGACTGAACACCCAAATGTTTTAATATGGGAGACGTCTGGCTCATGACCCGTTAGCAATTGGGATGGTGAATATTTGTGCTCACTAGATGGTCGTATGCGTATTAGTTCAGCGGCATGTAAGACTGCGTGTCCCCAAGCTGAGACCGGGAGTTGTGACCTCATGAGTAATGGTCTAGCAACCCATTGAATTCGTTTAATGAAGGATTCAGCTAATCCATTTTGTGTATGGACATGTGGAACGGGATGTTCAACACTTACCCCTATGGACATACAATATTCATTAAACGCTTGGGAAGTGAATTCACCAGCATTATCAAGACGTATAGTCTTTAATGGGAAGTCTGGAAAATGGGCTCGTAATCTGATGATTTGGGCCAATAACCTAGCAAAAGCCTGGTTCCTAGAAGAGAGCAGACAGACATGCGACCAGCGGGTCGATGCGTCAATGAGGACCATGAAATATCTGAATGTTCCATAAGGTGGGTGAATTGGTCCACATATGTCTCCTTGGATTCTTTCCAGAAAGTTCAAGGTCTCTTTAGACACTTTGACTGGTGAAGGTCGGGTAATCAGTTTCCCTTGTGAGCAAGCTGTGCACTTGAGGTGCTGAGGGAAAATACCATTTGGTTTAAGGCTGTGCCCTTTAGAATTCTGGACTAATTTACGCATCATGTTCGCACCGGGATGACCCAGGCGATCATGCCAAATAGTGTAATCTAAAAACCGTGCTTTGATAGCAGCATTAGCCTCAATCATACTGACTTTAGCATGGTAAATGCCAGTAGATACGGCGGGTATAGTTTCAAAAACTTGTTTATGGCCATTTATCATTTTAGTGATAATTAAAAGCTCTTTGTTCCCTTCATCCTGAGTTTCGATATGGAAACCATTCAATCTTATGTCTTTGAAACTCAATAGGTTTCTCTTAGAACTGGGTGAGTATAAGGCATCAGAGATGTCTAGATATGTGCCATTTGATAACAGCACATTAGCTTGGCCATGGCCCTCTATTAGGCTCGAACTACCCGCTATAGTGCTAATGTTTGCGGTTTTGATTACTAAATTTATGAAGTAATTCTTGTCTTTTAGAATGGTGTGGCTCGATCCACTATCCACAATGATATCCATATTGTCTTGCATATCTTTATTAAACAAGAATTGTAATTCAATAACTTGCAAAAATGAGATGTAAATAAAACATTACTCCATAAATTAAAATGTAAAAGCAAAAGGTCTTAAAAATCCAAAGTAAAGACAATAAATCCCAAAAACAAAAGATAAAAGTTTAAGGAGTAATGAAAAACAAATTCAGATTTTTGAGATCAATCAAGGAGGTCGGAGAGCTCATAATCCATGCCATCAATCTTATCATCCTTTGAGTCATCTTCATTGACTTGATGAACCAGGTTAGCCTCATGATTATCTTTCCCATACTTCTGGTAGAGCTCAGCAAGATATTTGGGAGTACGGCAGATCTTGACCCAATGATTAGTCATTCCGCATC